TAAATATATAAACTATGTTACATGCGTTATATGCGTCTCTAATTATTTTTCCCTAGCAAATTTCAATTGAACCTAAAGCTGCCACGTCAGTTTAATTGGTATGCTAATTGATTGACAACTAAGCAAGGTTACTTTTTAATTAATACAAACTTGAGGTTACATCTTTTCAAATGTTTCTCAATTAATATATAGGGGATTACAACATGATAGAAAAGGTGAGAGAGTAAAAACCAAAAAGTAAACTCACTAAAATAGACGGAGGAAAAAGTCTCCAACTTGACGGCTAAGTTAACGGCGGGTGACACAAGAGAAGAGAGAGAGAGAAAGCACAAAAAAAAAGACACAAGCTTCATCTCTCCCTCCGGTTTCACACTAAAAGAATCGATCCCTCAATCACTCAACGAACTCTCATCTTCTGAAACGATCTGCTCAAAACCCTTTTTTCCAACAATCTCATCAAGATGAGCTCCGAAACGTCTGGAGACGGCGGCGAACAATCAGCTTCCGCGGGAACGAGCGCACCTGCATACGACAAACAGAAGGAGAAGGCACGTGTGAGCAGAACGTCTCTGATCCTGTGGCACGCGCACCAGAACGACGCAGCTGCAGTTCGGAAGCTCCTTGAGGAAGATCCGTCTCTGGTTCACGCCAGAGACTACGACAAGCGAACGCCTCTCCACGTGGCGTCTCTTCATGGATGGATCGATGTTGTTAATTGTCTGCTCGAGTTTGGTGCTGATGTCAACGCTCAGGACAGGTGGAAAAACACGGTATGTTCGGTTCTTTCTTGTGTGTTCGTTTAATCTCTTTAATCCTCTGTTTGGTCTGAAACTTTTTGTTTTGTGTGTGTTTTGAAGCCTCTGGCTGATGCAGAAGGAGCTAGGAAGCAGAAAATGATTGAGTTATTGAAATCTCATGGCGGTTTATCTTATGTGAGTTTTTTTGTCATCTCATATAGCTTCAAAGTTAGAAACTTTCATTCTTTAAGGAAGAGATTGCTATGGAATATCAAAAAATAAATTATTGCAAAAAATTTAGGAACTGATTGAATTTGTGTACACAGGGTCAAAACGGGAGTCATTTTGAACCAAAGCCAGTGCCACCACCAATTCCAAAGAAATGTGACTGGGAAATTGAACCTGCTGAGCTGGATTTCTCTAATGCCGCCATGATTGGAAAGGTTTTGTTGTTTTCTTTTGAAGGCCAAATCTTTTAGTGATCCATAGTGTCTTGAGTTTGTTTTAGTTCAATGCAATGGACTAATTGGAATTCCTGGTGACATTCTGTTTGTTAGGGTTCATTTGGTGAGATTGTGAAAGCCTATTGGAGAGGAACACCTGTAGCTGTCAAACGTATTCTTCCTTCTCTTTCAGATGATAGACTCGTTATGTAAGTTCTTATCTCTCTCTACTGATACTTTGGTAGCAGTATCTGAGATTCTTGTGTGTTTCATGCTTGGTGTGATGCAGTCAGGACTTCAGGCATGAGGTTGATTTGCTAGTTAAGCTTCGTCATCCGAATATAGTGCAATTCTTAGGAGCTGTAACCGAAAGAAAGCCACTTATGTTAATTACTGAATACTTACGCGGGGTAATTTTTTTCACTATCTGCTTGTTTTTCATCTCTGTTAAATTGTTCTAACTAAAATGATTCATCTACTTTTTTTGCACAGGGAGATCTTCACCAATACCTCAAGGAAAAAGGCGGTCTTACTCCTGCAACTGCTGTTAACTTTGCCTTGGATATTGCTAGGTACTTTGAATCTTAACATTTTGAGGTATTATTTAAACTTATACATGGCGATTTTTTTGTAATTTGTTGGTAACAGAGGAATGACATATCTTCACAATGAACCTAATGTTATCATTCACCGAGATCTTAAACCAAGGTAACCAAACTTGCTTCATGTATATAGTTAGCTCCTTGGTTTTACTTAAAATCTGCTGTTTGTAGAACCGGTTCTCGTCTGTTATGTTTTCAGGAACGTTCTTCTGGTGAATTCGAGTGCAGACCACTTGAAAGTTGGAGACTTTGGGCTTAGTAAGCTCATAAAGGTTCAAAACTCTCATGATGTTTACAAAATGACTGGAGAAACCGGTAGCTGTAAGTGTTGTTCTATAGTCAAAAGTCAAAACCGTGTCTTCATCTTTCGTTTTTTTCTAACTTCTCCTCTTTTGCTGCAACAAACCAGACCGGTATATGGCTCCTGAAGTATTCAAGCATAGAAAATACGACAAGAAAGTGGATGTCTTTTCCTTTGCAATGATACTTTACGAGGTACACTAACATCTTAACTAGAGAAAAACTATGTGTATTTGCACTTCTAACTTTAATTTGATTCTACCACATTGTATGCAGATGCTAGAAGGAGAGCCACCGTTTGCGAACTACGAGCCATATGAAGCAGCAAAACATGTATCAGATGGACACAGACCTACTTTCCGTTCCAAAGGATGCACACCTGATTTAAGAGAGTAAGCTAAAAAAGTTCCCAAGTGCTCCCTCGGTTTTAGTCTGCTAACCGATAACTAAACCAAGTACACCATTGTTTTACAGGTTAATAGTGAAATGCTGGGACGCAGACATGAACCAGAGACCATCGTTTCTGGACATCCTCAAGAGACTTGACAAGATCAAGGAAACTCTACCATCAGATCACCATTGGGGCTTATTCACTTCATAAACACACACAACATCTTCCTGAAACACACATTCTGTTTGCTTATTTATTATTCTATGTTTAAAGATTGTTTATTCTCATTTGTTTCACAGTAAAAAGGACTAAAAAAGGGTGTGACAAAAAAAGAAAGCTTTTGTTGTTCCATGGATTTGGATTGAGGTTGCAGGTCACTGAGATGTTAAGATCATATCAGACAGGAAACATGTCTGTGTTCTGCAAAATCAAGTAACAAGATGCCTTAACAAAATTGAATTCAGTTGTGTGTTAAACTAGTGTCTAAAAAGGTTGTCAAAACAATGTATGTCCTCAAGATATGGTAATGTGTCTCTCTAGATGAGTTACTTCTTCTAGAAGAAAGTCCTCAAGTGCCAAAACTGAAGACCATGGAACATCTCATCATCGGATGGATGAAAAAGTTGTTCTTTTTCGGTTGCAAGGAAGAAAAGAGAGTAACTTTCTTTTAAGCAGGGCCGACCTCAGATTTCAGAGGCTAAAATTTTTTTCTGACTAATTTAAGGGTCTAAAATTTGTTTTTGAATCTATGTATATATAAATTATTTTAAAATTTTTGAGAATCTGAAGCTAATTTAAGGGTCTAAAATTTTTTTTTGAATCTATGTATATATAAATTATTTTAAAATTTTCGAGAATCTGAAGCGAATGTTTCAACAGGTTTGACCCAAAAGTGGCCCGGTTTTGGAAGGGATGTTAATGCAAATGCAAATTACAGAGAATGTGTCATCATGATTTCATTTTACTTTTTTTTTTACAATTAAGTCTAAAACACACACACACACATTTGTGCATGTTAATCAAAGAAGAGTGTTTTTGATCAAAAAAAAAAAAAAAAAAAAAAAAAAAAATCAAAGAAGAGTGTGGGGTGGGTAAGAGAGATTAAAGACACTTTCTATAATCGTGATTAGTGCAATAAATTAGATGAAATTTAATAAAGTACAGGTAGGTGAGAATCCATTGATGAATAACATAAAAAAAGGCCAAAATGTGTCATCGTTCTTTCGTTATCAGTGTATGTTTCTTTCCTTATTAGAGTATAAAGGTTTTCATAGTTGAATATTCTTCAAAATCTAAGTTGGTCATTTCACATCTCACCGTTAGCTCATTTTAATTTCCTCTGTTTCGTGATTTAACTTAATACGAATTGACTCATCATCATGATCATTTCATGAAGAATCTTATCTCATGAAGCGTCGGCGAAGACGATCTTACGAGGTAGATGGAAGTTAGATCAGACACCACTCAAGCGAGGAGCGATAACCTTTTGCCTCCGTCAGCTACGAAGCCGCCTCGCGTTCAAGTTTGGTTCGTAACAGTCTGCTCCACCGTTTTGGTGTGGACCTGTTTGGTGCAGCTTTTCGCAGCCGGTGAGCTTTGGCATAACCGGATCTTCACTGGTTTAACCAATCACATTTCAAGATTCTCATCCCCTGTCGAATCAGTTCCCTTGCCGCCTCCTTCGAGTCAGTTAGTTAATTAGGGTTATGTTTGCTTTCAGTCTCCCTTTGTTGCTTTAGTGTTTGTTTAAAATTTGAATTTTTTGTTTTTCTTTTTGTTGTTGTTTGCAGGAAACTATACAAGCAATGGTATTTTACTTGTATCATGTAATGGTGGACTGAACCAAATGCGATCAGCGGTTTGTTTACGTGCTCTTTTTTTTTATCTCTTTTTCAGACTTTGATGTTTTTTCTGAATTCTTGAGGCATGTTGTTGTTTTAGATTTGTGACATGGTGGCTGTTGCTCGGTTATTAAACCTCACTCTGGTTGTTCCTGAGCTTGACAAGACATCTTTTTGGGCTGATCCTAGGTACTTTGTTGATATGTTTGATGTCGTTTTAAATAAATTTTAGCTCTTTTGCAATCTAAAGCATCCCTTTTTATTTGTGCAGTGGTTTTGAGGATATTTTTGATGTGAGACATTTTATTGATTCATTAAGAGATGAAGTTCGGATCCTTAGGAGGCTTCCTAAACGGTATAGCAACAAGTATGGTTACCAAATCTTCCAAATGCCTCCTGTCAGCTGGTCTGATCAAAACTATTACTTGAACCAGGTCTGTGCTGCAAGCGCTTTCTTCATTTTTCTTGCTTCTTTTGGTCTTTCTCTTGCTTTTATTTGACAAGTATAATCACTCCTCTGATCCGTATATCTGATTGGATTGATATTTTTTTTTTCAGATATTACCTCTGTTTAGCAAACATAAAGTTGTACACTTCAAGAGGACCGATACCCGCCTAGCAAACAATTGTCTTCCACTCTCGCTACAGCGGCTCAGGTGCCGGGTGAACTTCCAGGGATTGAAATTCACTCCACAGCTTGAGGCCTTAGGGTCTAAGCTAGTCCGCATGCTACAACAAAGAGGGCCCTTTGTCGCTTTGCATCTGAGATACGAGATGGACATATTAGCTTTCTCTGGTTGCACTCATGGTTGCAGTGAGGAAGAAGCGGCAGAGCTAAAAAAGATGAGGTTTGTCTTCCGAAAAATCTGTCCTGAACGAGTGTTTTGTATGTTTTTTACACGTTTTTCTTTGTGTTGTGTTGTTAAAGGCATGTTTTTGTTTATGTGTTTGTTAGGTACACATATCCCTGGTGGAGAGAGAAAGAGATAGTCTCAGAAGAGAGGAGGGCGCAAGGGCTGTGTCCTCTGACGCCAGAGGAGGTGGCGTTAGTTCTAAAAGCATTGGGGTTTGATAAAAATACACAGATTTACATTGCAGCTGGTGAGATTTATGGCAGTGAGCAGAGACTGTCTGTTCTAAGAGAAGCATTCCCAAAAATTGTGAGTCTATCACTATCAGTCCTGGTTTCCCTATCAATCGGCGTCTTCATTATATGTACACTTTTTCTTAACAGTTCTGGTCTCACCTGTTGTTATAGGTAAAGAAGGAAATGCTATTAGAGTCGGCAGCGTTGCAACAATTTCAAAACCATTCGTCTCAAATGGCTGCTCTAGATTTCATGGTATCTGTGGCCAGCAACACTTTTATTCCCACGTATGATGGAAACATGGCAAAAGTAGTGGAAGGTCACCGGAGGTAATAACAGAATCGAATTCATTTAAAAGTTTTATCACAACAGACAATGTAGTGTAAAGAAAACCATACCCTGTGATTCTTAACTTGCTATGCTGAGTTTGCAGATATCTCGGGTTTAAGAAGACAATCCTGCTTGACCGCAAGAGACTCGTGGAGCTACTGGATTTACATGACAACAAGACCCTCACGTGGGATCAGTTTGCATTAGCTGTCAAGGTAGCTCTTGAGAGTCGAACAGGAGCACCTACACATCGAAGAGTAATCCCTGACAAACCTAAGGAGGAAGATTACTTTTACGCAAACCCTCAAGAATGTTTATGTGAAGGTACAAATTGCCACGACCTGTTTGGCGAAAGAAATTACAGTTTAACACGATAAAGTTATGTTTATTTTAGCGCATTATCTCATTGCTTCTGCAAGAGGACGGGATGCAAAACACTTTTGGTAAGAGAGCTGCATACAAGTTCCTTCCCTGAGTTTTTTCTTTCTCTTTTTTTTGTTTGTTTTGTAACTTTTTTGTTCAATTTTTCTGCATAGTTCCTGATAGGCCTGGGCATTCGGGTACCCGTTCGGGTACGGATCGGTTCTTTCGGGTATCGGGTTTTGAATTCAAGACCCATTCGGGTATTATAAATTTACGGGTCGGGTTCGAGTCGGGTCCTCCCGGGTCCGGGTGGGTTCGGGTCTGATGCAAAAGACCCTGAAAATAACCAAAGTATCTGAAACGGGTTCGGTTATTTGTACAGTAACCATATTACCCGATATGATTCGGATATTTTGTATCCAAACTACCTATTTTACCTAGATATAACCAAAAATACTCGTTAGAGACAATTTTGTTTGGGTATTTTATATCAAAAATATAATATTTTATCTAAAAATATTCAAAATAACCAACAAATTTAATTTATAATTTTATAATTTTAAATTATTAAAATAATTATAAGTATAATTATAGATAATTTTTCATATACATATTTACATTTCGGATATTTCAGGTACTCATTCGGTTCTCGGTTCGTGTCGGGTTCGGTACCGGTTCTTCGGATATAGCAATTTAAGACCCATTCGGTTATTTAGCCCGGGTCCGATCGGGTTCGGGACCCTGATTTTCGGGTCGATTTCGGGTCGGTTCTTCGGGTCCGGATATTTTTCCCAGCCCTAGTTCCTGATCTTGATTTATTTGTTTTACGTAAGTTAAGATGTAACTAAGAGAAGATTATGTTTCTAATCTTATAGAAATTTACAAAAAGTTGGCAATAGCTTAATATACAGATTATGTATCTTGATTTTTTCAACTCTTGGCTAATTCGAACTCTCTATGCGGTCTGAGATCAAATCAGGTGTCAGGAATTTCTATAATTCTGCAAGATAAACTATATACCAGCTATATTGATTCTCACTCCCAGAAGATGATTTCGCCTTGCTCACGAACCAAACCAAGATCTTTGAGCCGTCTCAAGTTCAAGCTCTCTATGCTTGAAGATTTGGTCGATTTGCTGAAGGACCCTCTTCTCACCAATCCTTATTTTGAGAGCCATTTCCTTCCTAAGATTAAGCTTTCCTTCTTCCAGGAACTTCTCATCCTGCCAAAGACGAGCAATAAATAAAGAGTGCTCAGTAGCTTACCGGATACGACTACTTCGTCTACGACTACGAGCCATTTCCACTTTCCAGACGGTGGGTGGTTTACCGTTGGCGGGTAAAGTATGAAGAGTGGTTAATTATATTAAGGGATATATAATTTAGAAAATTCACGACGGATGAGAAAAAACATGTAAGTTGGAAACATAAAACACCCATCATTGTTATAAAAAGCATTTTATTCTTTGTTAATTACGTCCTTTGTGGTGCTATTCTGTTCTACTAATTCTATAATTTGGTATTTTCTATCTACAAGTTTCTGTAGTGCTATTTCATTTGAATAAATAAAGTAAGTTGTTATAAAAAAAAAGGCTCATCATTGTAGCGAAGACCTAAATTTTTGAGGATATTCTTAGTAAATTACGATTCAAATTTAATATATTATTTTTAAGCATATGTATCAGTTTTTCAACCTATATAATGTATTTTTTGGTGCAAATTGCTTGATAATATATAAATATTTTTAAAAAGAAAAAAAACAAAAAAATATTACCTCACAGTCTAACGAAACTTCGCAGCACCCCACCACACCACATGTGGTTAATTTATATGAATTTATTAACAAAATTTACGTGGTATAACTCCACCGACCGACTATAACTATTTAGGCAAATGTTACAATGATCCAATAAAAAACTAATAAGTCATTTGTTTGGTGTCTCTTTGAAGTTCAACGATGTGGCCGCAGCAATGGACTCATAGGCAGTTTAACACCAAATGGTAATTAGCGAAGCCATTTCACTTAAATACATTTTTATGTTATCTAAAGTGAACAATATTAGAGAGTAAGTAGTCGCATGTAAGTTGAGGTGAATCTATTAAGTGAAAAGAAGTTCAAATTCGACTTTTGATCAATTCTATAAATGATATTTTCAGATGACATTTTTTGGGTGTAAATGTTAAGAAATTCAGATATGATAGGTGAAGACTTGTCAATGAAGCCTAGTTAAAAAGAAAATTATAGAAGGTGTCGTCGAAGTTTCTAGCGTCAAGCTAGTTGCCAATACGGACCCGACAACAGAGTACAATGAAGAACTTGTAGGGTGTTTGACACAAACAAAGCCAAAATGTGACAGTGAAAAGCACTCATAATGTTTTTATAACGCACTGATCCATCCATGTGATCCACACTCAACATGGATAACACCTTTATGCTTCTACTTCCAACCCATAGAGAAGTACAATCTATTACTACTAGTAATACATTTCTATTAAAAAGGGATCCGATTTCTTTCGTTCTTATGTTTTGTTTTGTTTTAGTGATAGCCGTTTCCAAAGCACTCTTGCTTTCAAGACTCAGATCCCTTTTCTAACAATTTATTTTTGTCATTTCATACCTAAAATCTTATATATACACTTTGTTATCATCTAAAGACATTCTTTAGAAAGTTATTATTCGACAGATTTATTATTCTTTCAGACCATTGAGCTTTATTACACCGGTTTTATTCTTTTTCTAACACTATTTTTTTGTGTTTTTCTTCAATGATTACTAGTTGTGATTGTCATAAAAAATACTTTTCTACCATGTTTGAAGACTTCTAATTTTCTAACCGTTTTGCAGGAGAATTTGTTTTAAGACTATCTAATATATATATAACCACAAAAATTAAGAGAGGATTTGGTTTTTTTTTCCTTTCTTTAACATATGTCAAAGTTAAGCAATGTGACTGTTACAGATCTTTCCAAAAGTGTTTATAATTGACTTAGAAAAGATGACTTTTTCCGGATGAAATGAAAATATGTAGCTAAAGTGGCAAAAATGAAAGCTTGACACCAAGCCTTTATTGCAGCCCGTGACACTAAATCAGCTGTTTTATTTTTTTGTCCCAACAACTAAGAATTGTTTTCCCCTACTTGCTGTGGAAAGACTAGAACATAATCTTAGCAACAAAGAGAAAGACACGAACAAAAATCCGTAACACAGGTTAAATCAGCAATGCACTAATGCTCTCAAAACAACCAGCTTTAGATAAACAAATGACTTATTAGACTAATCGAAAGTCAAGAGCAAATATCTTAAAAATTACAGATTGGGCCGACACTTGGTTGGTAACATATGACGACTGAGTAATCCGCTCATCCAAATGAAGACTCAGGAAATTTACTTCTCTCACGAAAACCACAAATCCAGCGAAATACTATGGCCTATGGGTGACGACGTGGTGGTCGGATCTACATTCTACACAGCTCAGGGATAGGTCAACAAATTCATGATGTTTTTTTTCTTTTTAACCTTGGGAATATTTCATATCCATTAAAAAGTACAGATAAATCCCTAAAGAATAATATCTACTGATGGATTTCCGTTCTTGATATTTAGAATACATTATTGTGACTGAAGTTTAATGATTAGGGTTTATTATTTAGGGCAGTAATTATGATTAGGGTTTAGAAATTAGAATAACTTGGATTTTTTTTGTAAAATAAATGTTAATTTATAAAAAAAAATAGATGCTATTTTAGAGATTTGACCAAGTCTTATTTGGTAGTATAATATATAATTAAGCGTTTTGAAATGGTCAAATTGGATGGCTAATAGTCTAATACTAATATATACAGGAAAACGAATTTGCTAGAATTAAATAAATAAACTAAGATACATGATATAGTAAGTATATACCTTTTGGTTTCTGAGTGATCATTACTAATTATTGCGTCCACTATTGAATAAACAAACTCGTACTTTCTGATGTCAAAAAAAAAAAAAAACTCGTACTTTCTTTACGTAGTATGATCAAACAAAAACATGATTGCTGAAGAAATCAGCACTTTCTGCAAAATCATGAAAATAACTTTAATGGTCGATGTAACTCGAATTGGTTCAAATAGCATGCTTTTTTTTTTAAACACCAAACATTCATATTAAAACTAGCATCACAATAAATTTATCCTGTGGGATGATCAACATAACAAAGTGCTGACTTAGCCAGTAAGTCAGCCTCGGAATTTTGAGAACGAGAAGTAAAGGAAACCAAAAAAATAGCATGCTACTGTATTTTCCTATAATCATCTACTGTATTAACATAGAGTCAATATTTTACCTACCATAAAAATCATACTAGATCCATTTCATTAATATTACTTATTTTATTATTTACATTAATAAATTAAATATAGACATTTTTAGAAAATCTTAATAGTTCATAACAATATAAATAATAAATCTGTTGAGAGAAAATCTGATAAAATCTAACTGAAACTTTCAAATATTTTCTTATATATAATGAATTAATTAATTTCATAATTGGTAACAAATATTATCATAAATTAAAATTAGCTAAAATATTATTATAAAATGAAAAAATAGATGTTATTTCTTATAAATTTTGTAGTTATATTATTACATTAAAATAAAAGTAATATATGAACACAATCTGAAATAACCATAATAAAATGGTCGATTAACCTATTTTATTTTTTAAGTGGGTTTGCATTCTAATAATTTTAATAAAAAAATTCATTAATTTAGTAATAAAAATAAAAATCATATATTCTTCGACTCGATAATAATTGTGTAATTTTTAAAATTTCTCTCAACAAAATATTCAATTATTTAAATAAATATTTCAAACTCAGAATGATAATATACCAACAAATCAACATATATTATTTATTCTAAGATTTTGATTTTTTGTATTGCATGTGTCATGGTTTTGTTTCTGCAACGAAAAATTTACAAAGTATAAAATCCTAGATGATAATGTATATATTTTTGAAATACAACACAAGAAGAAATACTTATGTTATAAAAATCAAAATTATTGTGATATCTTGAAATCCTAATATAATAACAGAAAATTAGAAAACTCATTAATCAAAAAGACATATAAATATAAATTATCCTAAATACATATATATATATATATTCAATAGTATAACTAAAATACATCTTTTAAATGTATTGCATGCAAACTATTGATTTTGAAAGAAAAAAAAATATTTTGAAAGAGATGCTATATGTATTTATTTCTGATTATGAATTAGTGTACCAAACTCGATAAATATATTAGTACGTAATAATAATTAATAACAAAGTAAATTATACATAAATAAGTCATTATATATAAATATAACAAATAAAAACTAAATAATAAAATTATAGAATTACACAATATATAACACTAAAATATAAATCAAAACTTTTTCAGTAGTATAAAAATTATAATTTTATAATATGAAATTATATTCGAACATTCGTGTGGGTCAAACACTAGTTCATCTTAAATGATAGGGCTGTTAAACACATATCCCAGAACTTTTAATGTGGTTGTTAAATATAAGTAGAATTCTATAGTAGTTTTTTTGCTTTCTAGATTACTGGCTGTGCTTCTGATCATTCCAGTATGTTCAATAGTTTCTACTGCCTGATCACAATTATACAGCAAAACTCAGTGGTATCCATATCTCAACACTAATAGTATGTCCTCGCGAGTTATCATTATCCGTCGACAGCTGTGAGTTTAATACTGAAACCAGTGGTATATGTGTGTATCAATTTGTTTTCTTTTGTGTTTCAAAAAAAAATGTGTGTATCAATGTAATTGAAACTGAATTATTGGCTCGTGGATAAACGAATAAATGAAGATGATGTGAGATATTGTCAATAGACCACACACAGCTGTCGACGGATAATGATAACTCGAGGACATACTATTAGTGTTGAGTTAACATAGTCATGTTTATCTCTTTATTTTGTTTCCTTTTTCACGTACATACGTGGTTTACGTTGAATAGATCCATGCAACGTTGATTATGATATGTACGTTGATTATGATATGTAAAAGTATGAAATATACTTCAACGATTATTTATCTGCTTGTAATCATTTTCATCAATTACTTATTCACTTTGGTTCTCCGACTAAATAACAATAATACCATCGACATTGAGCCGCCATCAGATATTGGTCTTACAATGCGACTAGAGGGTCGTCCAGGGCCGGCTTAACTATGTCAGGGGCCCTAGGGCAAAAAAAATTTTTTACCTTTTAAAATTTATGTTTATTCAATATTTAATTTTTTTTTGTTTTTTACAATTTAATCAGTAATATTTTGTGATGGAAAATAAAACTATATACTTATGAAATATTATTAGACCCTTTTTCAAAATTAGTTATTAAAATTTTATTTTTTTCTATATAAAAATATGTATTTAAAAAAAAATTGAGCCCTTTAATCATTGATATATGGGGGGACACGGGTTAGGACCCGGGGCGGTCGCACCGATTGTCCCCCCCATTTAGCCGGCACTGGGGTCGTCCACTCTAATTAAAAATAGACGACAATGATTAATGGATTTATTAAAATGGAATATGTCAGACATTTTTCAGCTATACTTTTACAACATATAGATCAACGTGATTTTTGTACATTTTTCCAGACAAAGGAGACACCGAACATTTACTATAGTTCTTACAACATACCTAGCTATATTGCAACAATTAGGACCGCCCACTACCTTTTCTAAAATCGAGTCGTCCACTACGAATAAAAATACTCTCTGCGCCAAACGATAATGACTGATGGATTAGGTAAAATCGAATATGTCTATGCTTTCCAGCTACTTTCTTACAACACTTAAATCAATATGGTTTCTAAACCAAAATATCATGATACACTATTTTAAGAATTCTTTTGGTAATCCACTATTTTAAGAATTAGTCGAAAAGAAGACTATTTTAAGAACTACTAAGACAAAATGTTTGGTTTGGCTTCCTGAAAACCGAAACGTATAAATCATAGTGATGGTAAAAAAATATTTTTACAAATCGTTTTATTATGAAGACCATATATGATGATGACCTATTACATACTATTATAAAAAAAAAAATGAGTTCGAAATTCTATAAATAGACATATCCAGTCCCCATCACGCGGTGTAGTTGCCCTCATTGAATACACGTTCACAAGAAGAGAAGAGAATTCAACAACGATAAACAAAAAGTCAAGTTGAATCCAAAAAAAAAAAAAAAAGTTGAATCATTCTTAATATTAGAATAAACCTCAATAATCCTAACCATAATAAAAACATAACAACTATCTCACTCCAGTGTTAGGTGTATATATATACACATCAACCTCTGGTCCTAAAATATAAGATTCAACAAGAACAAAATAACCCCCGAGAGAGATTCAGATTCGAGACAAAAGTCGAAAATGAAGTTCGGCAAGGAGTTTTCGTCTCAAATGGTACCAGAGTGGCAACAAGCTTACATGGACTACGATTTTCTCAAAACCCTTCTCAAAGAAATCGTCCGGTTCAAACTCAGAACCAACAATGCACCTACACGTGGCGGCGCCAAGAACCACCAGGGAGGAGGAGGACTAAACCGGAAAATGACTCTTTACCGAGCGTTTAGCGGTTTAGTCTCGACTCCGGGAAGGCAAAGACGCGGTAACAACCCTCACGACGTCGAGGAAGGGGTACAGTTAACAGCTACAACGACAACAACATCAGGGCCAGTTCTTGTGAACAACACAGGGGACCGCGGCTACGAGACGACGTTTCTGATGGCGGCGGAGGAAGGAGGAGAGTACGAGCTGGTGTTTTTCCGGAGACTAGACGACGAGTTCAATAAAGTGAATAAGTTTTACAAAGAGAAAGTTGATGAAGTGTTGAAAGAAGCGGTGGTGCTTAATAAACAGATGGACGCTTTGATCGCGTTTCGTGTTAAAGTTGAGAATCCAGAAGGGTGGGGATGGGATGATCGAGCGGTGGAGATCACTCGCTTGGCCTCTGATATAGCTACTTCCGCGGCGGCTTTATCAGCTTCTACTCCCGCCGGAGCTAAATCAAGTAAGCAATCATAGAGACACTTATCTACTTTCCCACCTAACTCACTGACTTTCTGACAGCAATCAAACAGGAGTTTAAAGTTGGTCCCGGTTTAATCAAAATTGACAATTACGTAACCGGAATATAATTAATTCAGCAACAAACAAAGTTTTGATATTTGAATTTTGTTAGTTTAGTAATCTCTGTTACTTGTGATTTTCAGAATTAAAATTCTATTTTCTCGCGATATTATATTTATGTACTAACCACGTGTCTGTGTCGGATGGTAGCATGGCGTTCCATGAATCCTATAGAATCTGAGTCCGAATCCGTCTATATTCAGATTAACACATGTGATCACCAGAGCTTTCACATTCTCTCTCCGGAGCTGTCACAAAAATAGACCTCAAAAATTAAAATGACCAAAATAACACTTTTTATTTTGAAAATTTTAAGTTTTCTTAATTTTTTTAAATTCAAAACCCTATCCCCAAAACCCTACTCCTCGAATCTAAACAAAAAAATCTAAGATTAGTTAACCTAAAGATATAAATGTATATTTAATAAAATATTTAAGTACTATTTTGGTCATTTTTATTGTTAAGGTCTATATTTGTGATAAAAACTTTTTTAGGTCTATTTTGGTCATTTTTTTTATGTACTAGGGCTGTTCTTGTTATATCCATAGATATAAAATGTTTTCAACACTTCTTTTTCATAAATGTTTTGAAAGGCTTGGTTTGTGGCGGTCCATGTTGAAATCAAATAATTACGCACTGTCTTGTACTATACGAAACCGGATTAAAATTGGTTTCTGAATTAAGTTTTGGTTTGTGACTTACCAAACCGACATTTCAAATTTTATAGTGAAAGTTCGAAGCCAAGCTCATATGGAGGCAATACATGAAGGAGGGTCGAGCAAAGCTGGTCAATTAGAAGATGATGACGAAGAAGAAGAAGAAGCGCAAGCAGAAATTGTAGCTTCAGTGTCTACAGGAGCTAGTGACGTGAACACGACCAGGATGAGAGCGGGGAGACCAGCTCCGTTAGATATACTAGATCGAGTGACGATCAACAATACCAAAGAGACGCCTCGCTCCACCATCAAAAGAGTTCTCCAGGTATCGAAGCAGACCGATTTGAAATTCAGCAGAGAAAACCTTATGAAAGTCGAGGAGAAACTGAGGAGCGCTTTCATCGTGTTTTATCAGAAGCTTAGGCTTCTCAAGAGCTACAGGTGTGTTTATATGTTTAATATGATAATGAGTTTTTGTGTTATTATAACTTTTTTTTTTTTTTTTAATCATTGATGGGTTTTAAATCATTTATTTGTAGCTTTTTGAATGTATTGGCGTTCTCTAAGATATTGAAGAAGTATGATAAGGTAAGATTTGAGACTTTTATTTGGAGGCTTTTTTTGTTAAGGAGTTATATATGTTATGCTTATATGACTGAGATGTGTGTGTGTGTGTTATAGATTACTTCGAGGGATGCAACGAAGCCTTACATGAAAGTGGTTGATAGTTCATACCTGGGAAGCTCTGATGAAGTAAGCGTTTAATGAAATTTTGAACCAATTATTAAAGTATCCCTATCAAATCCTCTGTTTTTTTGACATTTTAACTTAACTGGATATCCTCGGTCACAGGTTGTGCGACTCATGGAGCGTGTTGAAGCTACATTCATAAAGCATTTTGCAAATGCTAATCGAACTAAAGGAATGAACATTTTACGGCCTATGGCTAAACGAGAGAGACATAGACTTACTTTCTCCACAGGTAGAATCAGAAACTTGCATCAATTTTTTAAAAAAATTTCAGTCTTTGTGGTTCTTATGAGAATATCGGTTTTTAGGTTTCTCGGCTGGATGCGTTTTCTCTCTTATAGTAGCTCTTGCCGCTATCATTCGCACCCGAAATCTCTTGCAAGAGGAAGGCCAAAAACAATACATGAATACTATGTTCCCTCTTTATAGGTAAGCAGCTTAGTAAACTTGGCCAAGTATTAATATGTAGAATTTTGCTTAGATGTTGTGGATCTTTTCTGTTGTTTCTTGCAGCTTTTTCGGGTTTATCGTGCTGCACATAATAATGTATGCTGCTAATATATACTACTGGAGGCGATACAAAGTAAACTATTCCTTCATATTTGGGTTCAAGCAAGGAACTGAACTTGGTTATAGACAAGTCCTGCTTGTGGGTTTCAGCATTGGCGTCTTTGCATTGCTTTGTGTTCTTGCCAATCTTGACATGGAGGCAAATCCCAAAACCAAAGACTATAAAACATTCACCGAACTTCTTCCTCTCTTCCTACTTCTTGTAAGTTAGTTTTGTTATCAAAATCATCCATTTAAACAAAGCCATCATAATAACTCTGTTATGATGTTTGTTTTCCCACTTTTTACAGGCCATGTTTGTGGTTCTAGTCCTGCCATTCAACTTCTTTTACCGCTCGAGTCGCTTTTTCTTCCTCACTTGTCTGTTTCATTGTCTAGCCGCTCCTCTTTACAAGGTAACACTGCCTGATTTCTTCTTGGGAGATCAATTAACTAGCCAAGTTCAAGCTCTTAGAAGCATCGAGTTCTACATCTGTTACTATGGTTGGGGAGACTTCAAACACAGACAGAACACTTGTAACAAATCTGGTGTGTACAACACTTTCTTATTCATTGTTGCTGTCATCCCTTACGCCTCTCGCCTCCTTCAGGTACATTAGCTTCTATTCTCTATAATTTCATTCAGTATCTAAACATGTACTCAAATGCAGTGCATGAGACGTCTGTTTGAAGAGAAAAACCCGGAGCAAGGGTGGAATGGACTCAAGTACTTCTTGACTATAGTGGCGGTTTGCTTGAGAACTGCTTATAGTATCCAGAAAGGTCAAATCGCTTGGAGGGTTTTAGCCGCTATCTCTTCAGCTGCAGCTGCAATATTCAGTACTTACTGGGACTTTATCCATGATTGGGGTCTTCTAAACCGGACATCCAAAAACCGCTGGCTACGGGATAAACTCCTCATTCCTCAAAAGAAAGTTTACTTCATTGCCATGGTGAGTCTCAAAACCAACACAAAAATTGATTCCATAAAAACACGTTTCACAGCAACTGATGTTTAAGACCATGTATCAGATTTTGAATGTCCTGCTGAGATTTGCATGGATCCAAACGATTCTGGATTTCAACTTCTCCTTCATGCATAGACAAACAATGGTTACAGTTGTTGCTAGTCTTGAGATCATTCGTCGTGGTATATGGAATTTCTTCAGGTGAAAAGAACCCTCAAAACTCATATCAATGATTCCACAATATGTTTTGTTCCATTAATATTCAGTTAGTAACTCTTTGTGTTTCTGTTTGTTCTGGTTTGGTTTACAGATTAGAGAACGAGCATTTGAACAATGTCGGGAAATACCGAGCCTTCAAATCCGTTCCCTTACCGTTCAACTACGACGAAGATGAAGATAAAGACGACTAGTAGTTTCAGAAGACGGTGAATATACTCTTTGGCTACCAAAAATTTTAAACTGTCTTAAATTTTTTTGTTCTACAATTTTATTTGTCGTCAGATGATAAATGTAGGGATGCATATAAACATAAGGTTCGATCTCTAGTGGTAAATCATGTAAGGAAAATATATTATTCTTCAAACTCTTTTATTTCAGTTGTATATGTTCTTTCTATTCAACTTGATATCTAATTTGAATCGACTATATATGATCCGTGTTTGCAACCATACACACCTTTTAAAAGTCTTCCTCACACTCAGGGTTGGTCCTGAGCATAGCAAAATACTCTAAATTTGTAAAACAAAAAACAAAAAAAGTTTAACAAAATTCTTACTAAATTGTTGAGGGCCTCTAACATCTCAGGGACGTCCCTATTCACACTGACCATAACAAGATTCAAGAATATGAGATTTCATGAGTAACCATACTCACATCAAAATGAAGAGCGTAACCAATGATATAAGTTGTCATTTAAATTTGGACTCTTTCTAGAGTATTACAAATAATACAAGTCATATAATTAATTGAACCGCATTACTTAAATTAAACCGATGGTTATTTATGGATATAGTTTTGGGCTTACTTTTGTTTTTAGAACAAATTCTATGATTTGGTTTTTGGGTTTAGTATTAAGGAAAAACTCCAAAAAACATTGAATAAACTTTCCACCTTAATGGATAAAAGAATCAGTTATTATTTTCAAGCCCAAAAGGTATTTAATAGTTTTAAACAAAACAAAATTGTCTATTATTAATCATTTATTTAAATCATGTACTTTAAAACATGTTAATGTATTTTTTATTTTAAATAACAATCATTTTGTTTTGATAAATTTCAATGGTAACTTTTAAATAATTAATTTTTTTATTTCTCTTAAATGATTTACGGATTTAAAAAAAATGTAAAGCAAAACCAAAAACCAAAAACCAAATCTAAAAACTAAAATCCAAAACCAAAAACTGAAAAAAAAAGATTATATCTTTTTGCTTTTATTTATTTACAAAATAAACTATTGCGAATTTCTTTTAAAATTTTTTTGTCATCTTTTCAGTTTTAAGTTAGATGTTCGATTATTTGAGATTTGTTTGTTAGTAATATCAGTTCAAACTAACTCAGCGGGTCTAAAAATTAAAAACCCAAACCAAAAGCTGAAAATCAAAAATAGAAACTTAAAAAATAAAAACCAAAATCTAAAACAAAATTTAAAAATAAAAAGTGAAACTAAAAACTAATGAATAACAATCATCACCACAAATTTTGGTGAAGTGATTTTATCTCAAAACATTCTTTAAATTAAGATAAAACTCAATTGCGTAAATTTTTAAATTAGATGTTTGATTATTTGGAATTTGTTTGTTAGTAATATCAGTTCAAACTAATTCAGCGGGTCTAAAAATTAAAAACTCAAACCAAAAGCTGAAAATCAAAAATAGAAACTTAAAAAATAAAAACTAAAATCTAAAACAAAATCTAAAAATAAAAATTGACACTAAAAACTAATGAATAACAATCATCACCACAAATTTTGGTGAACTGATTTTATCCCAAAACATTTTTTAAATTAAGATAAAACCCAGTTATATAAATTTTTAATCATAAAAAAATTATGCGCTTGAAAAGCGCAGGTCAAACTCTAGTATATATTACATGGACCAGTCGGGCTATTTTACTATATTTTCTCAGGTTTCTCTATAAAAACACAAGTAAAATAAATTCCCTATTTCACATGGGTCGTCATTGTGATACCTCCGCCACTGCTCAAGACCAGCACACTCTGCTGGACCATAACCTGTAATTGGTTCGACAACACAAAACTCAGGTCAACATCTGAAACTGAAATAGAAAAGCTTACCCTAAATGCATCAGTCTTTTTATATTAAAGTCTATTGTCTAAACCATAGAATCAAGAATTCGGTAATAATTGAATCATTGTGTTGCACAACAAAGACATAATTCGGTAGAGTAATTGATTCTTCGATTAGAGCTGAGAACTAAGTGAAAAACACTCGAGTGTTTTGTATCAAGCTGAGTCAGACAAGTCATACTCGACATGGATAACACCTTAATGACTTAAAATCCAACACCAAGAAAGGTATAACATGAAGTAGGAATCAGATTTCTCTCGTTCTTAATTATGTTTATTATACGTTATCCCATGCGGTTTTCGAGGTCATTTTTCTTCCGAGTTTCCGACCCAATTTTTAAACCATTTTGTCATCTCACACTTAGGATTTGAATGGTAACCACAGGTTTTAGTAATAAAATCGGTACGGAATTGAAGAACGATATGGGTCAACTATGATTCATGTGGTATGCATGATAATTTTTTAAACTTTTTTTTTAAAAAAATCATATTATTTTAATATTTAGATACACAACAAAAAGAAAAGTAAACTGCAAACAACAAAATTTACTAATCAATCATAATTCCGTACTACTTTTTCTTTTTTGACCAAAAAAAAAAAAGAATGGTAACCACATGTTTTAGTAATAAAATCGGTACGGAAGTGAAGAACGATATGGGTCAACTATGATTCATGTGGTATGCATGATAAGTGCGATTTTGAAAGAAAAGTAGTACGGAATTATGATTGATTAGTAAATTTTGTTGTTTGCAGTTTACTTTTCTTTTTGTTGTTTATCTAAATATTAAAATAATATGATTTTTTTTAAAAAAAAGTTTAAAAAATTATTTTCTAAATTATTTTGAAAAAAAAAAGTTTTGGTATTCAACAATCAATGATCTTACCAAATTTAGCCAGCTTACCTATTTCTTATTAACTAGAAATTAAAGAAAACTAGATAAATATTTGGTGTAATTGTGATTATTAAAATTTGAAGTGACACATTTGAAATTAATCATTATGATAACTATTAACAACTTAAATTAATGAATATGATTTATATTTAATTTTTGTTAAAATATGTGATGCAGTATATATTAATTTTAATATATTATTAACAATTTAAATAAATGAATATGCTTTATCTTTAGTTGTTTATTAATATATATGGTATATCAATTTTTAATATATTTTAAATGTACAAAATAACATATCGATATACTATTGACTGAACAATTTTATGTTGGACAACAACTTAAACTTATTTGGAAAATAAAAAAGAAGAACTATTCAGTGCGTAATTGCACGAACCGCTGGTTAATAATAGCGGTGCGTTTTTCAAGTGCGTTACCTTATTTACTGAACACTTTTTTGTTATTTACGGTTTTGCCTTTTATTGTATTAAAAACCGCACATTTTCATCTTTTAAGTGATTGGTGAAACATAAACGGTTTTCACAAAACCTCTTTGAATACGCGTTCAGTGTGTCACCCATTCACACACTTAAAGTCTTCATCTAAATATCCTATTAGTAGGGAAGTTACTATTCTGAGGGATCCTTATTTTTTCTTTCTTCAATTTTCTAGCATTTTGGAGTTTAAATGTCGAAGGGAACAAAAACGTATCTCTATCGTGTTTTTAGTTTTTTTTAGTGAGTACTTTTAGGTTTTGCGTCTCAATTCGTTCTGTGAAATTTTGCTTTAAAATTGACAATGCGATTGTCACAGCTATAAATTGTTCTTTGGAGTTATAATTAACTCAGAAATTAGAAAAGTCTAGACCATATATAGAATTAGCAAAAAGAAAAATATGAACAACAATTTGTAAATCATGTAACGCAGTAATACACTAATGCTCTCAAAAAGTAATACGCTAATGTTTTCGCAAATAAAACTCATATTTTGAAACTAATTTTAAATATTATTGACTTGGACTAGTCGAAAGTCAAGAACAAAATCCAAAGAGTATATGTTGTGCGCCCACAGTCACGTGGAACATGCTAATAAGACGGAGAAAGAATACTTTTCGAACAACTGACAGAAAAGTACTTCTCACAAAATCCAGTTTCGAACAGCTGACGTAAGGAGCTCGACATTAGTATGACGGTACAAGGTCACGTATCCCCTTATCTGATTTTTGTATTTTCTTAATAATTTAAACTAATCTAATAAATAAATAAAAAGTTAAAATTTAGTGAAGAAGGAAAACACAAAATGGCCCAATCAAAATTTATTTTGTTTTTCACTAATAATATACCAAAAATTTGTGGAATTGCCTTTGGATGACGTGGTTGTCGGATCTACACAGTTCAGAGATTATTGGCGAAATTTTCATTTTGTCATTTTATTACATTTCTTC